ACAAATAGTTACACATCTCATAAATAACCACTTCATAGCATAGATACCGATCATCGTCTACACTATAAAGAAGGGTTCAAAAACATGTTCTAGCATCCTATCGTCATATGTCAGATAGTCTACCAGTTCATGGTTTTTATAGAAAATACGATATATTAAAATATAGCTCAAAATAGGCTAACAATTTATTTCCTCACCAAAACACGAGACGAAAATCAATATATTAAATCAACAAATTTCACATAAATCAAATTATAAATCCGTAGGCATGCTAATCATTTATGCAATTAAATTATCAAATCATGTAATTTTAAAAGGCGTCCACTCACAGCACTTAGTTGCCAAAAACTGCGCCACTAGCGAAGACGGGAACGTCACAATAATTGCCCCTAAGCACATAAAGAGTCCAATAAATAAAACTATATAATAGAAATTGAATTTGGGAAAACGGACGTTGGAAATGGATTCAGAACGTTGAATTACCCTAAGAAGAGTCTCGGACGAAACCCGAAAAGTCAACCCTAAAGTCAACGTTGACCGGGGGTCAACGGTCAAATTAGGTCTAACGGGTTCTAGGCTTGAAATCCGGATTAGGGTTTAGGTTAAATAGGATTAGGATATATTGGGTTTTGGGTTTTTTAAGGTTTTTGGTTAAAAAGGGTTAGGATGAAAAATGGTGGTTTGAGCTTAAGCCCAAACACACGCACATACACCACTAACACACACACACATGCACGGGCTACACACACACAGCCCATACACATATACACACAGGCCCTAAGGCCTTATTAAAGGGCTGGGCTTAGAGCCCCTTAACCAAAAACCGGCCCAAGGCCATTCTAAATAAGGCCCGTGGCCTTTGGGGTCTTTAAAACAAATAACTAAAAATAAAAATCAAACGGGCTGGGGATTTGGGCTAAGGAAAAACGGGCTTAAGGCCCGTGGGATTCTAAACGGCCTGAGAGGCCTGGTTTTGCCGAAGAAGAAGGCCGGAAATTCGGCCGGAAAACCACCCATCTTTAAACGGCTATAACTTTGTCACTACTCAACGAAATCAAGCAAGACAAAAACAAAAGTTGTAGCCCTTGAAGAGACGAAGAGAATGGTACCTCACACGATGTCTAACTCGCCGTGGTTTGGCCGTAAAATTCCTCGAAAGCCGTCGGACGCGCCGGAAACTGGGTAAGATTCAAATGAGTATAACCTCTTCAATACTCAACGAAATTGAGTGAAACAAAAAGGAAAGTTGTAGTACTCGACGAGACAAAGAGATTGATACCTTACACGCCGGCCAACTCGCCGTGGTTTGGCCGGAAATGGCCTTGAAAGGGGCGGGTGCTCGCCGGAGCTCGTGTACGGGGCTTCGTGGTTCGACTTTCAAGATGCCAAGACTATGGTTGAGTTCGTAGCGACGAGATAAAGACGATGGTGATGATTGTTGGTAAGAAAAACTCTCGGAGGGGTTGAGATAGAGAGAGCCGAGAGAGTGAGGGGGAGAGAGTTGCGGAAGAGGTGAGGGAGAAGAGAGAACTGAGAGAAGAGAGAGGGAGACCAGAAAACATAAAATAAAACAAGGTGGGCCCCACGGGCTCACCAATTAAGGACTAAACCAATTTTAAAATATAAAAAGGGGGTTGGGGTGTTTCAATCTACCACCCTTATAAAAAAATTTCGTCATCGAAATTTAAAATAACATACTACACTAAAAAACTCGAAAATACGAAAAAGGATACACATATATATACGTAGCGAAGAAATCAAATCAGAGCGGTTGCACAAAGGAAAAATGCCATCCCGTCGCGATCGGGTTGCAATGATTCCATCTTCCGTGCCTCCAGGCTCAAACTTTATTTCCCCATCTGTGTAAAAAAATAGGAAACATACTTTAATAAAATGTAAAGTCGAAAACACAAAATAATTTAAGGCCAGATAACGTCAAAATAGATATGTACTAACATATATTCCAAAAACTCGAATCAACTTAAAAACGAAAACAGCAATACTTTTCCAAAACATTTGTAACGTCAAAACAATTAACTAGAGTAAATGAAGTTAAAATACTTACACTGAAAACCAAAACTGAAAAATAAGAGTGGGTCTCGCCCAAGAATTCGAAACGTCACGTACTCCGAAAACATATGTGTCTTTGGGTCGAGTCCCAAGAATAACAATTCTGAATCTGCGTCAGTTGCTGTAGATGAATCTTGTTGTGCACTTGCTTAATGAACCCAACAAATAAGCTATCGATATCACAGTCGGGCGCCCGTGATATTGATCACACATTTGTTGTCTCGATAAGTAAGCAGTAATTCCCTGAGGATGCACAATTTTACACGTCGTAAATTCGATCCCCTGAATACAAGCTCGCACAACTCCTCTAACAACCAATGTTACCTGCAGAAATTCTAGTACCATGTCGCAATAATGCCATACCCAAACCAAATAAAACAGAAACTGCCGTCGTAAAACTCTATCCATCACCAAGCATCATATTCTCCTCAGTTCTTCCAAATGTGACCAACTACTTCAAAATTTTGCCAATAATTAACCCATTTGAAAACTGTACCTTGGGATTCAAGAGAAGTGGCTACCATGTTAATAGTAGACCCAAAAGCTCGAACCAAGCAAGCAGAAAACGAGAAGTCATCTTCCTTAACACGCAGTATCTCTTGGGAACTGTCGTAGTGCTCAATCCACCTCTCCATTTTTGCTTAGTTGCAGATTTCTAGTCAAACAAGGTCAAAGTTGGTGGAAAGAAGAACGACTCGCAAATGGTCAACCTAAAAACAAAAGAGAGTACACACCTTTCAAGAGAAGTGTAAAGATTATCCAATTCTCGCTTCGACCGTCCTGTAGTGCCATTCCAAAATGCACCAAACAGATCTGCTAGAAATGTTTTAACAACCACGTACTCACAACAATAAGGTTCGAAAGTGAAGCAATGGAAATATGCGTTGAGACGAACACATATCGTTGGAAAATAACCGATGTGATGCCCATGAATTCTAGTAAGATGGTGATACAATATGCTGACCTTCTGCACCAAAATCTTCACCAGTCTCTTACCAAAGGACAACTCAAACTTCACACCCACGATGAACTCTTTATGGTAAGTCTGGTAAGCTTGTGAACAGATTATGCTCCCAACATTCCTGTCCAAATCGATAAGAATTGGGCGTACGCTTCCGCCAAATCGATCGATTGTGAATTCCTCACTAAATGAGTAAGAATCCACGTCGAGAAGGCTAAAAGAACACTTAAGAATTTCTCTAATAATTAGAGGTGAACCTCATTTTTTTCCCCTTCTTTTATTTACCATGTGAGGGCAGGCGTTTGCGTAGGCATTTTGGTGTTGATCACATGAGGTTTTTGGATTTGTTGGGGAATAAAGAAAAGAAATCTCATCAAACTCAGAGAAGTTCTTTCAACATAATGATAGCTTATTGTTACTACAACAACTCATCTCCGATCATAAAGGTTCCGTACGTGGAATTAATAGAAAATTTCACTGCAGAAGAGCTCGAAAACGCCACAAACAATTATGACGATAGTGAAGTCATTGGCCAAGGAGGAAATGGAATTGTTTACAAGGGAGTTCTACATGACGACAAGGTGGTTGCCATTAAGAAGTCCGATATTTGTGACTAAATCCAGATCGCACTTAACGAGGTAATTTTGTTTTCACAAATCAACCATCGCAACGTGGTATGGTGAAGCCATTCAGTTGTTGCTTGGAGATGGAAGTGCCCTTACTAGTTTACGAGTCCATCACAAACGGGACTCTTGCAAGTCATATTCACATTAATAACTTTAATCAGCAGACGTTTTCACTTAGACTTTCATGGGAGATGTGCCTTAAAGTTGCAACGGAAACTGTAGGGGCGCTTGCGTACTTGCACTAGGGAACTTGTGTGCCCATCATACATAGAAATATCAAGACTGCCAATATCATGTTGGATGATGTCTACACGGCAAAAGGTTGCCGACTTCGGAGCTCGAGACTTAATCCTATTGATCGAACTCTGTTAGCGACTTTGGTGCAGGGAAAACTTGGATTTTAGACCCAGAATATTTCGCAAGTGGCCAATTGACAGAAAAAGGGACGTGTACAGTTTTGGTGGAGCTATTAACAGGTAAGGAAGCTGGTTTTACTAATAACCAGCTAGATTCTAAAAGGATTAATCTGGCAAAGTACTTTGTTACTTTTAGGGAAGGTAATCACTTGCGCGAAATTCTTGACGATCAATTGGTAATCGGTGTCAGTGAGCTAATCTTTGAGTAACTAGAGGGTTGCTGACCTTGCAATGACGTGCTTAAAAGAGAGAGGAGAGGAAAGACCAAATATGGAGGAAGTCAAGACTAAGTTAGAAGAGCTCCTGTACATGAAATTTTTTGAAGTCGTAGTGTATATGTTACCTAGACCTAGTTAGAATATTTATTCCAAGCCTTTTCTTGATGGATAATGCTACGAAGACTAAATGTGTAGACTAAATTTTATAAACTAAATGATATGGAAGTTGACGATTAAATTATTATATACTTAATTGTTGATTAACGTGCTTAAATCTTATTAGTGACACGTTATTTAGTTTGCAAATTGAATCTATTTTAGTCTACTTGTCATTACTCTTTCTTGATTATTCGTTTTCTAATTAGACAATGAGGATCATCAACAGAAGATGAAACAAATTCTTTTGGCATATTTGTTCAGTTGACTAGTGCTGTGCAGAGTATTAATTTCTAAAGTCTAACCATTGTGCATTGTCCATTTTGGGAATTGAACAACAATTCAAGGGACGGACATACATTTGAGTTTGGAGAGACACCTCATTACGTCTGTCTGGCTAGGCAGCTCTCACGCTTGGCAGGCCAGCCACTTGCAAACGGCTTCAGGAATATTGTCAAAACCCTATTTTGTATAATTTTCTAACACTATATTTATTTCCAACTCGACGGCCAGGTCTTAATTCCCATGGAAGTATCCGCCTACTTTCTCACTGATGATGACAGCGCGGGTACTTTCGGCATTCTGTATATATTGTGCTTTCTAACAAATGAGCTAATCAAAGACTTGCACCTAGCCTACTTGATGACCGATCAGCCATGTCGAACCACGAACAACTTCTGCTATTTCTGGTCATCATCATCTTCTACTTGACACCAAAAACAGCATTCGGGCAACCAAAGTCAGGCTGCCCCGGCACCTGCGGCTCTCAGAGCATCCCATATCCATTCGGCACAAGTCCAGGCTGTTACCTCGACGAGTCGTTTCTCATTTCCTGCAACAACACGTCAAACGGTCAGAAAGCATTATTTTTCCCAAAAAGCAACGTAACCATCCTCGGCATATCGCTCGTTGATCACGAAATACGAGTCTCCAGCTCCATATCCTACGATTGCTACGAATACGACAACTCAGGCCATCTCAGCAGCAGCAGCAACAGAGTCTCTTCCATGCTCACGTTCTCCAAGTTCCCTATTTCAAGTAGCCGCAATAGGTTCACGGCTGTCGGCTGTGACACTGTCGGGGTTATCGTAAGCTCGAAAGGGCGAAGCTACACGACCGGATGCGTATCCCTTTGTACAAAGTTTGAGGATGTGGAGAACGGGACATGCTCCGGCATTGGTTGTTGCCAAATACCTATACCGGAAGATGTGATAGATTATGCCACGGCAACTGCGAGCTTGAGAAACCATTCGGACGTCAGAGGCTTCAATCCGTGCGGCTACGCTTTTGTTGTGGAAGAAGACGCCTTCAACTTTTCCTCCTTGGATCTTGGAAACTTTCAGAATAGGGAGAGTGTCCCGGTGGTGGTTGATTGGGCTGTTGGGAACCAAACATGCCAACAAGCTAAAACCAGTGCTACTTATGCATGTCTGGCAAACAACAGTGAGTGTTACGAATCAAACAACGGGGGTGGCTACATCTGCAAATGCAATAAGGGTTATCAAGGAAATCCATACCTTCTTGATGGATGTCAAGGTACTAATTAAACTCATCTATAAATATTACTAAACCGTAGTTTTTGTGACAGCTAGGAAACCTATCCTCTTCGTTCTTTAAGCTTAATTAATAATCATACGGTTGGTTAATTGTACTCTTAATTAATTAATTTTTCTGATGGATTAATTGTTAATTTCAGATATAAACGAGTGCGAGGTTTCAAACCCGTGCAGCAGCACAGCAACATGCAACAATATCCTTGGAAGCGTGAATTGCTTGTGTCCCAAGGGACACGACGGGGACGGAATGAGAAACGGAGAAGGCTGCAGCCCAATTGATAAACGTAGTACTCAATCTCTCAAACTTGCTATTGCCTTAGGTGAGCACAATAACATTATTTATGAATTGATTAATATTCTCAATTATATTTCATACTCATTAGAGTGGATCGATCCTCTATTTAGATTTTCTCTAACGAGTTCAAATATTCTGCATTCATTTTGCGTGTAGTTTTTTCTGTGACCTCTATCATTGATTAACAAGTTCAGAAGATTTGGTCTCTTCTCTGACATGGTTTGCTTTTAAATATAAAAATGTCAAAAATCTGACTTAAATACACATAGACATATAATTAATTTGAGGGTTGCCTAGGTGTGGCATTAATCATGAAGACTTTGAGAAATCAACTTTCCCAGCTAGTGTTAATATCACAGCAAATGAAAATGATATAAATCAAATGATAAATCTAATTGACTAAATCATGAAGTTAAAGAAAGACCTAGAAGATATAGAATATGGACGAAGTAAACAACGTTGGAATTACAAATGCAAACATCATTATCTTCAAGACTAGTTCAACTTTGTTCTCTTGTGGACTGGGGCTTCTTATTATATATGCAGTAGTCGTCGATTTATTCAATGGTTTGCCTTGTTATCTTAGTTTTCATACATTTAGTAGCTTTTTTTTTTATTGATTTATTATTTTTGGTAAAAGCATTTTAATCATGTTTTATGCTATTGGTTTCTTTGAGTTAACAAGTCAAGAAAAACTGCATATTTCTATAGTTTCTTCTTAGAACAAAATTTGGGAATTTCATTGTTTCTAAACCTCAATTTATGGTCAGCAAGGGGAACTGAACATGCATTGTCATACCCAATTTATGGTCAGTTCATGTTTCAATTAATTTGTAAAACTTTACTGGTAGCTTACAAATGTACAAAGGAAATTTCTCTCTCAAAGTAAAATAATGGACTCTAGTGTACGCTTAAATTGCGTGCTAGTGTCATCAAATTTATATATGTACGAAATTTGTTTAGCAATTCATGTGTCAGCGTATGTGCCAATTAATGCAGGCATCTGTATAGGCATGTTGGCATTGCTCGTTGGAGGTTTTTGGATTTATTGGGGAACCAAAAGAAGAAAATACATTCAACTTCGAGAGAAATTTTTCCAACAAAATGGTGGCATATTGCTGCAGCAGCAACTCTCTTGTCACAAAGGATCTGTCGAGACAGCCAAAATTTTCACTGCAGAGGAACTGAAAAATGCGACTAATAATTACGATGAAAGTAGGGTTCTTGGCCAAGGAGGCTACGGGACAGTGTACAGGGGATTGCTATCAGATAACAAAGTTATTGCCATTAAGAAATCCAAAATTTGCGACCAAAGCCAAATCGAACAATTCATAAACGAGGTAATCGTGCTTTCACAAGTAAATCATCGTAATGTGGTCAAGCTATTGGGGTGTTGTTTGGAGACCGAAGTACCCTTACTAGTTTACGAGTTCATCACAAATGGTACTCTTTCCGATCATATTCATGATAATGGCCAAAACTATTCGTTGCTTCCTTGGGAAATGCGCCTTAAAATTGCAGCAGAAACAGCTGGGGCACTTGCATACTTGCACTCTGCAACTTCTATGCCTATCATACATAGAGATGTGAAGACTACCAATATTCTATTGGATGATAATTATATAGCAAAAGTTGCTGATTTTGGAGCTTCAAGGCTTATTCCTATCGATCAAACTCAGCTAACCACTCTAGTACAAGGAACACTCGGATACTTAGACCCTGAATACTTCCACAGCAGTCAGCTGACAGAAAAAAGTGACGTCTATAGTTTCGGAGTTGTTCTAGCGGAGCTGCTAACGGGTAAAAAGGCACTTTCTTTTGATAGGCCAGAGAGCGAGAGAAACCTAGCAATGTACTTTGTTTCTTCGATGAAAGAGGATCGCTTAATCGAAATTCTTGATGATCATGTGAATGTCGATGAGGAAATAATTATCAAGCAAATACGGGAAGTAGCTATTCTTACAAAGAGGTGTTTGAAGGTAAAAGGAGACGACAGGCCTACTATGAAGGAAGTCACGGCGGAGCTAGACGGACTGATCAGTTTGGGGAAGCATCCGTGGGGAAGAGATGGGTTTGGATTCGAAGAGACTGAGTACTTGCTCAACCCTAATTCTGAGCGTTACAACGGAGACGGGGATGAACCTGGTGGAAATTGCAGTACTAGTAATACTAGTTATGCAGGGTTTGATAGCATGAAAAACCATATAATAATGCCACATGATGATGGGCGATAGATTCTTCTGTCTTTTAGCTAGTGGATGTTAATTAGACATGTGTACTATATTAGGATTAATGTTAATATTTGTTGATGGTTATTGTTTGAAGTTGAATGATTATGTTGGATTCTTTTTATTAAATTAGCAAATTCGTATTGTAGTGTTGTTTTTCTACACTTGCAAGTGAAAAAATTTATGTTTTTTTTTCTTTGATTACAAACCCAATTATTATAATTAGTCATGTTTAAAAAAAATTAAGAAAAGGAGAAAAAGGCTATTTCAGGTAAAGAAAAAAAAAAAGAAGGAAAAAGGGAATTTAAGAAAAGGATAAGAAGTAGTGAGAAATCAATTGTATTATCCTATCGAAAGTTGTATTACCATGTTGGGACAATCCCCCCACGCGATTGGGCCGTGGCCATTCCTTTTGAAATATATAAAAGGCGGTCTGTCTTATCCAACGGACACAAATTCTACTTTTTATCCCGTTGAAGATTCAACTCTCTCCCTCCCTAGAGTCGGAGTCTCACTCACACAAAAAGCTCCCAAATTGCACACAGACCTATAATAACCTCCCTCAAGTCGGAGTCTCACTCACACAAAAAGCTCCCAAATTGCACGCAGACCAATATTATTATATATACGATCAGTGGACAGCAGTAGTAATTGCTAGCAGTCTCTGTCTGAGATTCTCCAATGGCCCTTAATCCTAATTTGTTGAACATGGCTATGATATGGTGTCTAGTACTACTTTTTCCTGTGACCAACGCCGTGAAACATGAAGAAGTAGAAACGCAGGGACAACTGGGAGAAGGTGACAGGGTCACCAACTTGCCCGGACAGCCGCCGGTGTCATTCCCGCACTACGCCGGCTACGTTCAACTTCCCAAATCCGGCAAGGCCTTGTTCTACTGGTTTTTCCAAGCTCAAGAGAATGCATCTCGGAAACCCCTTGTTCTTTGGCTTAATGGAGGTCAGTTCCCTCTCTTCCAATCAAAATTTGCTTTTCATTTTGGTTTTTTGCTAGGGCCGACATACATTTCTTCTTTTACTGTGGCGTTTTTATAATTCACAAGTATATGAGTATATGAGATACACCGGTAACGGTTAAATTGATATTGCCGAAAGTTAATGTTTAATTGTCTACCGCACTGTGCATTTCATACACCAATGTATTATAAAATTTTCAAAAGAAGGAAGGGATAAGATTTGGATGTTTCAAATGAAAAGTGTTTCTTTCTTTTTAATAATATAATTATATTTTTCATGTGTATTTCATTGGGTTGGATGGGTTTACGCTTTAGCCTTTCCATATTTTGCCATTTGTTTTTCTTTATCTTCTTTTAGAATTGTGTGTTGGTGTCTGTTGAGAGGCACAAAATGTCAACAAGAAGACAAAATAGGCATAAGAAATCAGAAAACACAAAGCATTAGATTTTAGAATGGTGGCTTTTTCCGTTATTCTTGACGGCGAGAGCCGGTTTGCCGTAATGTTTCTCCACTCTCAGTCTGAGCACACCAGACGGACAAAGTGCCATCTGTCCTGTCCAGTAACGGACTTGATTCTCAGGTCCTCTCTGGGTCTGGAGCCTCTGGATCGTAGAAGAGCAGAGAACATAACAGAGAGCAGGGATCATCCCATCCCATCCCATCCCATCCCATCCAAATTTCAATGAAGTCAAAAACTTTTACAGTAACGAATATTTGCCGCCCCGCCGTAACATTTGACGGCCGTCCTACCCATACCCAAACCAAGAAGTGCATTCCCCCGGGCCCTAATATGTGATAATTATACAGGAATGAAGCAGTCTTTGGCCTCGTTTTTCACTTGGTATGATTTTAAGTAAAATCACATGGTTGAATCACGAACCAACTTTGTTGGCACCTTTAGACCAAAGCAGATATATAATTAATATATTTCCATCTTCATCGTCATGATTTAATCATAAATAAAAGGGACACTTTGGATGCGGTCCCCAATTATCAATATTCTTTGATTGAAACCTTGTTAGTTTTTAGTTTTTTATTGAGGTTCCTGATATTAATGTAATAATGTAAGTTACTATATTTTTTAAATTAAAAATAAAAAATTGAAATTTGTAATTGTTTATATTAATGAGATTTTAAATAAAACCCATAATTTATGGGATTAAAAATAATAAAATATAAATTATACTCTCTATTATATTGTGTGTGTGTGTGTACATATATGTATGGGTACATTAACCAAAATTAACAAAAAAAAGTTATTGTACCAAAACATGGATACATTCTCAAATCAACGAAAATGAATGTATCCATATAAGTTTAAACATGGATTAAAAAATTTGAAAGGATTTTATATTAAAAAAAAGGGTACATTTTAAATATAACAAATTGATATATTTGAGAATGGGTACATTTAAGATTAAAAAAATTGAAAAATTATATGAATGGGTACATTTAAGATTAAAAAATTGAGAATCTTTTTATATATATTTAAAAAAAAACTAATAGGTACAAACTTAATTTAATTTAATTTAGTATTATTTTGGAAATGTTTGAATTGAAAATTAATTAGAAGTTTAATAGAGGTGTGAGTATTAAACCCTGAATTAATTACTAATTTTTATATTAAAAAATTATATAATAAACATGTAAATTCATTATCACATTAATGCTAGGGACTTGAATCAAAATTTGAGAACTAATAAGGTCTTAGTCAATGAACAGTAAGAATTAGGGACCGGATACTAATTTTTCCTAAATAAAAAGAATAGAGACGTTAATGTTTATATTGTTTTAAAATATTAACTCATTAACTAGTGTACATGTGAGTCCAGTCTCTATTATATGAAGCGAAATCATCTTCTGTGTCTCTCTAGCATTGTTGGCAATGGTAGGGCATGCATATGGGATATTTAAATATTTTCACGGATTTTCTCATATACATTGAATACGGCCTGGCCTGCCTCTGGCCATCACTGATTCAGTTGCAGGCCTATGCTTCTATTATTATTTAACTAGTATATAGGCACATACAGGGAAGTTTTATTTATTTATTATTATTTATATTTTAATTAAAGATATATTAGTATTACCTGTAGGTGAGTCTTTGAAAAAAAAACAATAAAATTTGGTTACGTGAAATTACATTTATATCTCATATTTCTTATTCATGTTTTATTTTAATTAGAGAGTTAAACTGGTAATTTTATAGGATTTTGAATTGATAATGAGTATTTTATTAATTAATAAAGATGTTATATTTTCTTTTGGCCGAAATTTCTTTACAAGACTGAGAGAATTCTACAACTACTTCTAATAGTGGAGAAGATAATATAACGGATATATTATCACGGTAATATTTCGACTTTATAGTGTAATATTGTATGTGAATTTTTTTTGTAAAGTATTTGCATTATAGTATTAAGATGTCACGTGATAAAAAAAATTAAAAAAACCTGTGTCGTGCAAAACCTTTGCCTAATGAGTTGGTAGGACCCACTATTCTCCCCGTTCTCTTCGTCATCATCCAATGCAAAAGCAATATACCCTTTTTTTTCCTTTTTCTTTTCCAGTTTTCACCCCACCACTTCAATTTATTTGTTTCTTTGTTATAATTGGTAGCAAGCCTGGTTCTGGAAGGCTATGCACATGCAAATGCAAATGCAACAACCAACGCCCCAATAGTCATCAATCCCTACTTAGTCAATGCCGGCCAATTTGATTTGGTTTACTAATTTGGACATGCAATTAATTAAGATAAATATCCCCTCTTTTTTCTTTTTTTTTTCTTTGTATTTTTTGCGCTTTTACTGAAATTGAGAGAGAGCTAGGTCTTCCCAACTTTAATTTTAGGCATTTCTTTCCATTTTTTGCTTGAATAGTAATGGTCCAGTAATGATGTATTGGTCCAATGACACCATCTTCCATCATCCAATTATTTATCATCTACCTCCGATCTGTGTCAGTGATTTATTCATCAGGAATGTTTTTTAGGGAAATTTAACGAAAAACATCCGGTACTGTTCACTTTAACGAAAAACCACATTTTTACACTAAAAAGTCAATCCTGGTACTATTCACTTTACCCTTTATTTTGTCCTTATCATTAAAACTCAAAAAAAATTTCATTAGTTTTCCTTATTTTTTAAGATATGTTCTAATTTAATAAAATTGTAATATATATATATATTTCAGGACCTGGGTGCTCATCCGTAGCTTATGGAGCTGCACAAGAACTTGGCCCCTTTCTTGTTCGAAGCAATGGAACCCTAATTCTTAACAATTACTCCTGGAACAAAGGTTTATATTAATTAATTAATAAGTAACATTGCATAATAAGCTTGATTTCTTGAATACTTAGATGATCATATATGTATGATCATGATGTTCAGTTGCCAATGTGCTGTTCCTGGAGTCACCTGCTGGAGTAGGGTTTTCCTACACAAACAACTCCAAGGATCTGCGTACGCTGGGCGATCGAATCACAGCTGCTGATTCGCATGCTTTCCTGGTGGAATGGTTTAAGAAGTTCCCAACCTTAAAATCCCATGATTTCTACATTGCTGGGGAGAGCTATGCTGGCCATTACGTCCCCCAGCTTGCCAACCTCATATACGACCGAAACAAAGGAGCCACCAGATCATCATCCCCATCAGAGTATTCCTCCTCTTTCATAAATCTGAAAGGTTTCATGGTGAGCCAGCCTACATGAACCCTAACTCTACATACAATTAACTCATTTCTCTAATTATCTAGCTAATTAATCGATCATTCGCATTATAATTGAATTAGATTGGGAATGCTGTGATCAATGAACCGACGGACAACAGTGGGATATTTGATTACGCATGGAGCCATGCCATAATCTCGGACACGCTCCACAACAATTTAGTAAATAAATGTGATGTCATACATGATGACAACCAAACAGAAGAGTGCAATGAACACATTCGAGCCTTCTTACAAGATTATTCTCAAATCGACATCTACGGCATTTATGCACCCATCTGCCTCACTGATCCATCTCCATCTACTACTGCTTCTCCCAAACCAACAAGGATTAACAATTTCATGAAAAATGTTGCACCTCGTCTGCTCAATCAACATGTAAGTCATCATTCACTCTGGTACGAGTTTATCTCACCTAATTCATTAGCTAACCAGTAATTAGTAACACTAATAAGTTAAGGAGTTATGTAATTTTGGTGTGGTTAATTAATTATGCCAAATGTATATATAGGAGCTTTGGCAGAGGCTACCATCAGGGTATGATCCCTGCACAGAGGATTATGTTGAGCAATATTTCAACCGAGAGGATGTTCAGAGGGCCCTGCATGCCAATGTTACTAAACTTTCCTATCCTTACTCCCCATGCAGGTAACTATGATCTACATATATATAACCAGTTCTCTTTCTCTCAATCCCTCTGGAATTTTGGGGGAGAGAAATATTCGGAGAGGTAACTGAAAGTCAATTTAAAGAATTTATTAGAAGGAACATGCACGTTGAGAAATCAATCAACTGGAGCTTTCTTTCTGTTTCCACACTGCCGCAAGGCCCAGATCATAATTAATGAAAGATATCTTGCAGTAACATTTGTCCTTGTCTTCTTCCTTTTGTTTTTTCTTCTTTTTTTCTCCAATAAAACGCAAAATTGAAATATTTGATAAATTATATTGTGCAATCGGAAATCAATAATTTAGATAGATAGATATCTAGAGGATTACAAATTATCGACACCTCGTTTTAATTTCCTTACTATGGTCCATGGTTGTTCCCTTCCCACTAAAACCAGTCAAGCTAGCTGTTATGTTTTTCCTCCATATTTGTCTTTTATATAATTAGTCAGCAGAAATTAGTCATACGATAGCAAAACAAGAAAAGCTGGTACTGGTTGGTGGGTATGTCTGTGGTAATATTAAGTAATTCGTCAAAACTCTAAACACAAATTGCATGCAGGAGGACCGTCCTATACTTTACTACTCTATTTAGGGTGGTGGGGAGTGGAGTGGGGACATATGCAAGTTGGTTTCCAGTATGGGATCTCACTTATTATTACATTCTCGAATCTCACTTGCTTTTTTAATTTCCCACCTCAAATTAGGCATTAATTATTTCCGCAAGCATTTTTCTGCAGCATATACTTATTGATGTTCACAATAACATCTATGGTATATATCTTATTCTGTTGCTTCCTGTGGCATGCAGCGGCATCATAAAGGAATGGAAGGACTCGCCTGATACCGTACTGCCAATCATTCAGAAGCTCTTGAAAGCTGGCTTGCGTATTTGGATCTATAGGTAATCGAGTTAATTAAAGATTACTGCACTAATAACTTGTAATTTTTTATTAGTAATAATTAAAACCCTAATCAATTACATGCATGCAGTGGTGACACGGATGGGAGGGTGCCGGTAACATCAACGAGGTACAGCATAAAGAAGATGGGTTTAAGAGTAATTCAAGGATGGAAGGCATGGTTTGATAAGGGTCAAGTGGCCGGGTGGGCGGAGACGTACGAGGGCGGGCTCACGTTTGCGACGGTGAGGGGCGCAGGGCACCAAGTCCCGGTGTTTGCACCTCGGCAGTCTCTTTCTCTGTTTACCCATTTCCTCCATCCCAATCCCAACACCACCCACGGCCTCCCTTCTTCTCGTTTTTAGGCTTTTACCTAGTAATAAAATAATAAAAATTAAGCTGCCTACCCCTCTAGTCTTTTACACATAGGAATACGATGCTACTAGCTAGCCATCGTTGCATTTGCAAGTTTACAGCCAACAAGGTGTACTATGACTCATAATTTATTAATAATATATATTCCAATATTACGTGTTATATATCTTTTTCATCAGATAAATTAGGGCTTGTTTAGAAGACTTTTAAAATGGTTGAAAACGTTTTTTTAGAGAAAATGTTTTTTTGTTGTAAAAGCATTTAAAAATGTTTCTTGCAAGAAGCACCAGTTATGTGCTTTTGGTAAGAAGCACTTGAATTGCTTGTACCTAATTTTGCATTACTAAAGATTGATTCAAAAATATTTTTACAAAAAACGATTTCAATCATTTTAAAATCAGTTTCTAACGAGCCTTTATTAACTAAAGTCAATACACATGGACAAAGACTATATGTTTATCAATGATATCACGAGTTTATTTTATATACGCATAATTAACATAATTGCAAGCAGCCCTACCATAGGCGCAGCCACTCCCCCATTCATCATCTTGACAGCGTCCACGGGAGAGATTCCATGTCTCTCAAAAATTAACACAAGGAAAATCATTTCCCACTAATAAAATGAATCGATACCAGTCTGTTTGATCTGGACCGTTAATTTGATGGAAGAGGCCCTAGAATTGTACAAGGGAGTGCTTGTCCAGTTATATCTTCATCGTTTAATGTTAGCCCACTTTATTTATTTTTTCTTTAAAGCTGGCCCAGTCCAATTGGTTTGGTTGGTTTTCTTGGAACCCAAAACGAATTAGATGCAGAAATTGAACTTTTACAGTTGCGAGCGGCTTCATAGCTTCCTTCCTTCCTCCGTCGTCTGCTGCTAAGTGTCTGTCTACTGACGACTGACTTGTATTGAGAGTGAGAGTATTCATCCCAATCATTTGAATCCAAATGGCGTTCCTTTTCCACAAATTTCAGGAGGTAAACGTAAATCCTTCTCTCTCTCTATTTCTCAATTTCCCTAAACCAAACATTTCGCATCTCTATTTTCAGTGATTTTCGTATTAAATCTGCTGTCTTGTCACTTTTTCTAATTCTTCATCGTTTATGTATATTTATTTGCACTAGAATTTATTTAGTGACCACAAATTTGGCTTTGAATCATTCTCAGTGTTCTTCAGTTGGATGAAATTACCACATTCCAGTTTGAGAAAATTAACAAACCCATGAAAAAGATTGAATTTTGCTGACAGGATCTCCATAAGAACCAAGACGCAACAATAAAAATTACGACTTGCAAAGAAACGTACTTTACAATTTGAGTTTCCTAAGTTGCATTACACAAATCCTATTTCCCTAGACTAGAGAAATGGGCATTGGACATGTTCATCCTGAGGTCAGGTTTTCGTCAGGATTTGGTGTTAATGCACTTCCAATTCCAAATGGGCTACCGCACTTCGCCATGCTATATGTGAAAATTAACGCTATAATTGTTTTTATTTTCAGGGTGTGAGAACTCTTGCTAAACAACCCATGTTTAACAGGAATCCAAGGCAACTGCAGTTTGAGGCAGATATGAATCGCCTCTTCCTATATACCAGGTTGCTCTCACACCACCATCTTCCCATATGAAAACAAAACTACTAATTTTTCCACCACTAAGGCCCTTTCGTTTCAAAAGAAAAAAAATACTTGTATTGTACATCTTGGATGTTGATTATGAAATACTTGTATATCCATATTGTGCATATTGTGCATATTGTTCATCTTTGATGTTGATCATGAAATACTTGTACCTTTCTCACTCATTCGCATATTGTGCATCTTGGATGTTTGTTATGAAATTCTTGTACCTTTCTCACTCCTATCGCATATTGTGCATCTTGGATGTTTATTATGAAATTCTTGTGTATCCAGCTACAATCGCTTGGGAAGGGATGCGGATGAGGCAGATGTGGATGAGATCATTGACATGGCTAATAAAGCCTCCATTGCCGATCAACAGAAACAAGTCCAGGAAAACGTTCATCTCCAAATTAAAAACTTCTGCATGTCTATGGATGAAGTTCTACTCCCTGATGTTAAGAAGCTAAATGAGGGAACTGAATCACCTAAACAATCAAATGCTTCTACTCGACGAAGTGGTCTTAGTTTTGCCATTGGTAGGAATGGTCCACCAGTTAAACATCGTGGTGAGCTTTTTACTTCTGTTTTTGGCTTCTTATTCCTCTCTTCTCAGCAATTTTTCAGAACGTTTGATTACTATACTGATTAGTTATGGTTTTCAGTACAGATGTGCCCGAAACAAGGCCATTACAGAGCACTGATGTTTCTCAAAAGTTAAAAGATCTCTTCGGCTACACGCTTGATATCAAACCTTCTCAAATACCCCACAAGGAAGCAGGCCAAGGTTTATTTCTAAATGGTGAATGTGATGTTGGTGCCGTCGTGGCCGTGTACCCTGGTGTAGTATATTCCCCTGCGTATTACCGCTACATACCTGGATACCCAAGAGTTAATGCTCAAAACTCATATTTGATCACAAGGTATGATGGGACTGTGATCAATGCACAACCTTGGGGTTATGGGGGCGAAACCCGTGAATTTTGGGATGGTTTAACTGTTCCAGAAAACAGGCCTAATATGCAGGGAGATGAGAAAGGTCGAGATCGGATCTGGAGACTTCTCAGTAAGCCTTTGGATCAGAAGAAATTGGGAAACGGTGGCGACATAATAGAGCGGAGGAATCCATTAGCTTTGGCTCATTTTGCCAACCATCCTGGAAAGGATATGTCTCCAAATGTTATGGTTTGCCCTTATGACTTCCCGTTGACAGAAAAAGAAATGAGGGTCTATATTCCAAATGTAATATTTGGAGATGCAGAAGAAGTGAAGATGAAGAGATTTGGAAGCTTTTGGTTCAAGCTTGGAGGTTCAAAAAATAGCGGCTCAGACGTTCCTGTTTTGAAGAGTCTTGCCCTGGTGGCTACAAGGGCACTTAGCGATGAAGAAGTGCTTCTGAACTACAGGTTGAGCAACTCCAAGCGTCGGCCAGAGTGGTATAATCCTGTTGATGAGGAGGAAGATCGAAGGAGGTGGAGCTAAGTTTTGTCAAAGTTGCCATCTTGTGTTTTATGTATTACTTTCAACCGGTTCTTTCTGATGATGAGCGTACTTTTGGTTCTTGCTGGGTGGGGACTTTTTCTGTCTTTTGGTATTAAAGATCTGAAAAGCTGAAGGTTATCTAGACTTGCAGAAATCATGATGCTCAAAGTTAAGTCTTTGCCTCCGTCATCCAAAGCGTTTATGTTGCGAACGGTCTCTCCCATTTGTTTTCGTTTGATTTAGTTGCGATGATCTTTCTTTGAGTGAAAACCAAGCAAAACAATGTGGAGCTTGAGCTTTTAGAACTAGTATAGTTTGCTTGTTTGGATTCAACAACAGGTCTAAAGAGTAAAGACAACGAGGTTAGGATCTATTCCATATGTGCACACACACACACACAAAACATTGATCAACGATGAGGGTTGGTGGACGACGATCCTCAACCCTTTTACAACCATCATTCTTTAGTTGGGCCAAAATATCCCCTTTGGTCCTCTTGATTCATATTTTGGAAGTTAGTGTATAACATTGCACACACTTACAACACTTTCATCCATGACTTTCCAACAATTCGAGAACCTGCTCTATTAATTTGTATGTATGTGATTAGATCTTGCCATTTCACCACTGTGGATGCAAATTTCTTCTTCCTTGATCTTGGACAATTTTGCACCTACAAAACAATTAACACTTTAGGTTAAGGCCAAGAGCCTCACGCGCCCACGATGAATGGGGGGGGGCTTTGGCCGAAGAACTTCCGATGCCAAAGTTAGAATTTAGAGAGACATAGTGTTTAGAGAATTTTGGGATTTTTGCCGAAGTGTTGGAGTGAATATTTGGTGAAAATAGGAGCCTATTTATAGGGCTAGGTTGGTTTAGGTTTTATTTTGGTTTAATTAGCCAATTAATTGGCTAATTAAACATAAAAGGAAATATTTTTGTGGTTATGGAATTAATTGGCTAATAAAAAGGAAGAAATGGTGAAAAAGGTAGAAAAAGTGATGGATTAGGTTTTGAATGGGGATAGCCGGCCATGTGGTGTTTTAGGGTTGAATTGGATGTGTTTTGTGGTTATTTGGATATAATGGATGGTTTAATTGACAATTAATGGGTTAATTAGGCAATAAACCCATTAATTAGACAATTAACATAATTTAAAAGGAATGTGTTTGGGAATTACCTTATAGAAAGGATTTGATGAGATGGACTTTGAATTGTTACCTATTTTGGGCACTTCTGTCTTGGTTGAAAGAGGGTTGCGCGCTGCTTGGGCGTAGGAACCTCGTTGTACTGCAAGGGTATTTTTGTCCTTTTTGTCCAAAAATCCACGTGTCGCCTTGAAAATATTTTTAGCTCCACAAATGCCCCCACACCTGTTGGGCTGCTCGCAGAAAAGGGCAGCAGGTGTAGAGATCTTCTTGCTTTAGGAAACTTAGGAATGCTTCCTATTTTGATGTAGATTCTCTCTTTAATAAGAAATTAGATCCTTCTAGGAAAGGGAAATAAATTTCTCTCAAAGCCTATTTAAGTCCACCTTAAGTGGGTTATTAAATCAACTTTGGAGAGCGATTTATTCTACCATACAAGAGAGAGATAGCTTAGAGGATATTTGTTCCCCCTCCTCTAGCAATCTTTTACATCTTACCCGTGCGAAGGACCGTCTTTCGTTACTTTCTTCGTCTTCTTCGTGCCACACTGAGGTAAGAAAAAATTAATTTTCCTTGTCTTCTTCTTGGATGGTGCTACCGCGGGGCAGCCGTTGGGGTGGTGCGGCACGTCGGCTGGCATGGGCCAGAAGTCGGCTCGGCATGGGCCGAGGAGGTATTGTGGTAGGGACCACTGCTTTAAGCTGCTTGACTTGGCTAGAACCAAGGGCAGCTTGTGAGGCTGGGGCCGCGGATTGTTGTGCTGGGGCGCAGTACTAGGCGAGTCACATGGTTCATGTCCTTTTAGGCTTTTGGACACGACGCGAGCTAGGCTGGTGATTGAGAGAAATGAAGAGGTTGCGGGCTTCATGAGCTGCTGGAATGTTGGGTTGAACTCCCCTGCTAGGTACCACGAATGACGTTGGCTACTTTAACTCTCTTCGTTAAGAGAAACATGGGCTGCTCCCAAAAGAGGAGGTGAATAGGATCAAGGCGGATGCATTGGCTCGTCCAATCACTATTGTGGATCCTGCTGCAAGTGAAGGTGGGAAAAAAGGATATTCCCTGCCTGCTCAAGAGAAGCCGGCTGAGAAAAACCAAAGACTTCTTTCGCTCGCGCGGGTTCGTCGACTGCCTCCAGGCTTGTGATTGACTTGACTTTTTCCAAGAGGATGAAAAATGAGGCTGCTAGATCTGAGCATGTGGCGCCTGCCATGTCAAGAATGGCTAGTACGATTGTTAATAGGATTGTTCGGCATAAAGGTCCTGTCATGCCCCTAGTACCGAATTTTGTACCAAGGCGTCTGTTGGGAGCTAAGTCTGGTTCACCTTTGGAGATGCTTGCTATTATGAAGAGTGATAAGGTGGACTCTGCTGCTAAAGTGGCGCCAAGGCCCATTTCTTATGCTGCTGAGACTGATTCGCCTGCTGGGAATGAAGAGACTGCTCGCGTAGGTAGCTGTGAGAAATCCACTAAGCCTGCTTCTGGGGAGGCTGCTGAGATTTATGTGCTTTTGAAACCAGATCTCTTGAAAACATGGACGCTTGTGCCAAGTTTGTTGATGGCGTCAGAAAGGTGTTTGCCTAAGCTCGTTTGCGAAGCATACGACCCAATATAGAAGAACTGCTTTGCTTGCTATGATGCAGATATAGCAAGGCTGCTAAGGAGATGGCAAATACTATGGCAGATTATGAGCTCATTACTTTGAAGGGGTCTAATATTTCTGCCCCCATTTCTTTGCAGCTTGAGACCGCTCGCCAAGAGATCGTTAACTTGAAGACTAGGCTTGACGCGATCCAAGTTAAGCATGAAAGTGCAGAGAAGAAGATCGGATGTCACATACCTTAGATTCAAGATCTTAAGCATGTCGTTTCTGAGCTTCATTTTGCTACAAAGGATGAAGAGTTTATTGCTGCTTATAACTAAGTGATCCACTTCAAGAGAATCATCGATAGGCTTGAACCCCAAGTGTTGGAACTTCAAGGCATACTGAAGATCAACGAAAGTCTGAAGAAGGAAGTGGATGAGCTGCAGAGCATCCATGTTGGTCTGCTCGAGGAGGATGAACAGCTGAAAGGTGAAAAGGCTGGGCTCGGGGTTTTGAGACCTTCTTTATTTCTCCGGAAGACTTGCTTGATTTTACTTTTGAGGCTTCCATTGGTGAAGTAGTTGGAGAAGTTAGTGCCTAGGCTGGGGTAGCCGGGGGTGAAACGCTGGATGATACCGCTGTTAAGAGCGTCGTGGCTGCTGAAGGTGTGGCGACCGAGTAGTCGTGGGATGTCCAAGCTGCTATAGTCTTTTAGATAGCCTTTAGGATTTTATTTGTTTTTTCTTGTAGCTCTTGTTTTGCTTGAACTCCTTCGGCCTTTGCTAGTTGTTTATAAATATGTTTTCCTTCGCTTTTCTTCATCTTCGCTTCTTTTGTTCATGCCTTAACCTTTAGACTTGATAGACCAGTGGCAGACATGCTACTTTTTTATAAGCAGACAAGCCCGCGTAGCCTATGCAGCCGTAGGTGTTGGTGTAGAACTTTGCAAAGTTGTTAGCCATAGGGTTGGCAGCCGGATGCCTTACTTACAGAAGCAGACAAGTCCGCGTAACCACTAGGCTGTTAACTTGACTTTCTCCAATTCTGTAGGTTGCGTAGTAAGTATCACAACACTTTATGACTTGGTGTAGGTTGTTTCGCGTTTGGCAGAGGTGAAGCTTATCGACTACATAGCATGTCGACAGTGGATAAAACTTAGTATATGCGTGCTAGCTTGTTTAACCTTTCACAAGAATGTGCGGTTGTAAAAGTCTAGTGCGACTTTACTGCTTGAAGGGCAAGCCGTAGGCAGTCTTCCGGAATCCGTAGGCTACCTTAGTGCACTTGGTAGCAACTTTAGGGTTCCAGGGCAGCCGTCTGTAGGGCGTACTGCATAATGTGCCCCCTCCGTATCTAGGGCCCGGTTTCCCACGGATTAGGCCAAGAGACCCAAAATCCTTCAGTTAGCTAAGCCTTGAAAAAGACCATTGTGGCTAATTATAGGAATCCCGGCGCAAGCCATCGTGCATCTAGTTATACTAGGGTAGCCAGGCTCATCCACGTCTTGATATTCGGAGTGTAAAGTTTATCCTCCCATCTTGGAGAGCTAACCCATATGGGTGTCGGGGAATTGGTTTACCCTATCGCACTGGAGAACATGGTTGGTCCCTCGGGGGGTGCAATTCCTGCGATGAGTCCCTAAGAAGGGCGCAGTCTTCTTTTGAAGTGCATGAGTGATTAGTTGTTGTAAGCATGCAGCCAAGCCAAGTTGTGATTACTTCTAAATTCCTCATTGAAAAACGAGTGAAACGAACGAGAACTTTAGCTGTAAGGTAGGAACTGCATAACAACTGGATAGTCCTCAGCTTGTGAGGTGGTGTCCGTTGAGCTTTTTGAGTCTTCGGGTTTTGATGTAGCGGGAGGTCACACATGGTACTTCTTCAGATTGTAGGCCATCCACTGCTTTTCGATCTTTTGCCGTTTCATGGTGGCGAGGGTGTAATTACTTTTGCCGCCTACTCTGCTGATCTTGTACAAACCTTCACAGATGAGATTCGTCTTTTTGGATCCTTCTCTGCAGGCAGTGATGAGGGCTTTTCTGCGCCATCGACATGCAAATGCCAGAAGTCTCCATCGGTGGAGTAGGCGCGGCTAGAGTGTGCTCGGCTACTTCTGAGGCATCGTTGGGCAGCTCTGTTACGTCACCTAGGCTCGGCGTGAAGGCGCAGTAGGGAGCTGTGGAGATGGGGCCATGTCATACGCAGCATGAGATGCTCAACTGCCGGTATTGGGCCACTCTAGAGTTGAATCATTGAGCAAGGGTCCGCTAGGGCCGTGTGGTGCGCAGCAAGAAGTGGTACTCAACTGCCGGTACATGTTGCTCATATGTATAATCTTTTAGGGTGACGAGGATAAAACTTGCTTCTGAGTGTGTCCTTCCAGTGTTGCGTTCGTCAGAAAACTTTATATCCGCTGGGGTCTATGCCTTTATCGTCGCGCGTCTGGATTGGGCAGAATAGTACGTCATGAGGATGACTGCATGCATTTGAAAGTAAAACTTGTGCTTCCGGGTTGCAACAACTATCACCAAAGTTAGCTTTTGAATTTTTAATAGCATCGAGGAGAGCTTTTGAACTGTAAAATACAGGTAACTGTAGAATACAGGTAGTTGGGCCCCCATCTCTTCTCGCATGATGGTA